TAAAGGAACTGACATCCTATCCGAAATATCAGAAATAAAACTTAAGATAATATCCTATCAAACGGCGAAAAGTTCATGAAAAATGATTGAGTAGTAAAAAAGATATTGGCATTTTACTTTTTCCGGGACTTTTGGGACACCTTGTATATGTGGGTGATAACCATAATGTTAATAATCTATGCATAACTCCACGATAAACCGTGTGACGATCATCAATACCAAATGATGGTCCATTTTTAAAATATTTTAATCTTGATAATTCACAAGGTCCTATAAGAGAATGAAGATTATATTATAAAACACATTGTGAATAGTAGACTACTTGACAGCTTATGGGTTGAAGTTCAGATTGAAAAACATAAATACAATAAACATTATGATTTGCTTGATAATGACTGCGCTGCTTTGGCAACCACATAAAAATGGATACCGAATGAAGTTGCTCATCTGATGGAGGACTGTAGTTGTAATCAGGTAATCGTATAGACCGAAAGCTGTTCTATCATGACAGAACATGCGACATTTCATAATGTGACTTTCTGTCAAAGAAAAAAAAATCTTTATTCTTTTTTTCTGCAATTTCTGTACTTAATATTGAAAATTAACAGTTAACTTTTGAAAGGTTTGGGATAGATCAACCCGTAATTAGTTTCAAGTTTTTTGGGTCATTTTATTCGATATAAAGCCATTATGAAATCCTGAAAAGACCAGATCTAATCATAATTGCCTTAAGGAGTTATAGCAAAAATTAATTTTTTGCAAAATTCAACCAATAAATATTGGATTTACCATAATTTTTTTCTTCAGAAATCATATGACTGTTCTGAGCAGCTAATGGGTTTTAAATATCATCGCCACAAGTGAACTTTTTAAAAACCGAAGATATCTTATTGAAACCGAATGCCGTTTTATTGGAAACTCCAAGATAACGTATTATCACCATGAACCAGCGTTTTCGATTAGGTAGGGGAAGGTGGGGGAATTCCCCTACCTTATTTGAGATAAATAACTCTCTTCATTTTAAAAAAGTTTACTCCTACTAAAATAAAAATAACTCCGAAAAGTTAAAAGCCTTTTTCTTTTTTGATTATCAGCTAAATTTTTAGAGTTGCTCCATAAAACTTCTCCCACCTCGCCAAAGTTATATCAAAAACGCTGTCATCAACAACAGATCTATTAATACCATCAATAAAAACACATGCATTACGATCACCGATAACGGCACATGTATTACTATCATCAATAACTGATGTATTAGCATCAACCACAACCACAACATACCGTCTTTGTTTTGTGATTTTTTTCATCTTCAGTTTTTAGCGGTAGAATAATTGTATAATCTTACCTGTATTCCATCTGTATTCATTGCAACTTATATATCTTTGTTTCATTATTGATTTGATCACTTGTTGTGGTATCACCTATATAGAAATGAATAGACTATCAGTTAGATGTACACTTTTTTCCGAACTCCGATAAGAAAGTTTGTATTTCTTAAAAATAATGTATCAATCACATTATAGATTGATGACTAACATAGCTCTGCATTACGATCTCAGTCTGGGACAATAAACTGAAAAAATGTCTTGATACCTGCCCAAACAATGTTTTGCTGAAAGGAGTAGTGGCGGTAAGGCCATTTTTTTTTACCACAATATTTTCAAAAAAGAACCACATATTCGGAATCAGCATCAAATTCTGAGCAAAATGAGATATTTTTTTCTGTCGAAAAGCCACTTTCATTTTTTACCTGGTTTTTGGCGCCCCTGGGGACCTTACGAATCTCAACAATTTTTTTTTCTCAAATTCTATTGAACCATACATCACCAGATGCAGAATTTGATGCTGATTCTGAATATTATTATATCTGAAAATACGTTCCCTAGTGAATGTACTTGACACCAAATACTTAGGAAATCCTTGGGTAAGTAATGTTCAGAGTACCTCGAGTTATTTGAAAGTAAAAAAGGTACTTATCAAGTAATTTAACAAGTATAAGTACTATATAAATACTTCATCAAGTATTTGGCAGGTAACCTTGGAAGTACTTGCGAAATATATGCAAGTATCCGAAGTTCGTCCAAGTATTTGGCAGGTATTAATCTAAAAATGCTTGACAAGTGCTTAACTCTAGAAAATTTTCAAGTAGCTAAGTAAGCTAAGTAGCTTACTTGATCTCAAGTACCTTCACTAGGGTGCCTACACATAAAAGCTTCGATATAAAAACAGGTACTGCGAACTTTCATCGAAAAATACTTTATCGGAATTCAATTTTAAAATACCGATT